CCTGGTGTGTAGCCCTTGCGGTCGATCTTGGCTGAGAGAGAGACAAGGCCACGGTTACTGTACCAGGATCGGGCGATCTTCTCCCGAGCTCCCGCTTGAGGGGCCTTGTGGGGTGGAGGGAAAGGACATAACATGCATCCCATTGTGCCAACCACAGACCCCCTGAAGCCTCTAAACCACCCTCAGCTGAAGGAGGATTTGGGGCAGGGCCTAGTATCCTGATTTCCTTTTAACAATCTAGAAACTATTTGTAAAATGGATCCAGGAATATGACTCATCTCGTTAAACTGAAAACGAAGTGAACAAGCCAAGCACTTAGTGCGTAATGAGCGCTTAGTAAGCCATTATTATTGCAAGCTCTGACTGAGTCCCGTTTCATGGAGGAGGCACAGGAGGCTCAGAGAAGGTGAGACACTCAGCCAGAAACACACAGCCAACTGGTGCTCCTGGGACTTGCACCTGGCTCCACTGGACTCCACAGGCATTCCCATGCCTACCTCCCCCACTGCCTCCCTCCCTGCCAGGGCTCAGCTGTGACCCCCACTTTGAGAAGGGAGTGAGGAGCCAGTCACCAAATAGCCAGGATCCTGCCTGTGATGCTCCCATCCTACCTTCCCCAAGGGCAGCAACTCACCAGCAGAGCTGGTGTGTTGATGTCCACAGGCTCGATAACAGTAAACACTTTCCTTGCCCGGCGGGCAGGGACCCAGGGCCGGTGCAGGGTGGCTTTGATGCAGTATCGGACACTGCCGTGTTTGCCTTCAAATGAAGTCACTAGCGTCCTGGGGGTGGAGGGAAGGGGCTTCAGTGGGTGAGATCCACAGACTCCCGGGTGGGAGATTCCCAAAGACTTACGGGGATGAGAGACACGAGGCACTCCTGGGCACCCCCCCCCCGGGAGACAATCTTGCGGCTCGGGGGTCCCCAGATACCGAGCAGTGGAGTCCCAAACCTGGAAGGGGCTGCAGACTTAGGGACTCCCCTGCAATCCTCCACCCCATTTGACTTACGGTGGCAGCTGGAAGCTGAATGGGAACTCATGGCGTCCAGGAGGCAGCGTTGTGATCCCTCCGGTGTCTGCAGGTAGGAGCAAGAAGGGGAGGCTCAGTGGCTGTGAGGGGCTCCCGGAGCGCGCAGCACGCGCCGTGCAGGGGTCCCCAGGTGGTACCTGGCGCGAGTAGTGTGGCATGGTGGCTCACAACCTCCACGCGCTCGCTGTAGCTCTGCGTGTACGCGGTGCTCGAGCCCGCGCTGCGCGACTCGGTCCAGTGTACGTGGGCGCGACCCCGCGCGCGCAGCTTCAGGGCACCCACGCGCGCCGGGCCCGCCAGCTCCAGCAGCACCCGGCCGGCCACCGCCTGGCCGCCGCTGAACACGGGCTCGGCGCCTGCGTTCGCACCATCCAGTTGCACCACGAAGGCCTTCACCTTGTCGAACAGCATCGCGGCTGGGATACGAACTCGCGGCGCGCGGTCCCTGGCTTCGAACCCGCGACGCGGAGGCGCGAGATGCGGACGCTGCAGCCTGAGAACGCAAACCCACCACGCGCGCGCAGGCGCACTCGCTGATCGAGCCAGAAACTCCTCACTGCCTGCGCCGGCGCCGCATTTATACGGCAGGGAGGGGCGGAGCGAGACGCAGGTCCCGCCCCCGGAGAGGAATACACCAATGGCGCGGCGAAAGGCGTGGCCCTGCCCACGCGTGGAGCAAAATAACAAACGCCCCGGCTCGCGACCCGCTGCCCTCTACCCTAGTGGACCCTGGTGTGAGGCTGAAGCACTGCGGGACAGAGCAAGTATCTCAGACTCCGGGGGTCAAGAGGAAGAACTGAGGCCTGGAGGACTCGGGCCTGAGGTCACCCAGCAAGATCATACTGCCGTCGGTTTAATCATCAACCGGCCGCCAATTGCAGACGTGACTCGATGCACGTCCAGCCCTATCTGGAGGGGTGTGTTAACAGCCAGGCCCCAATCGAGGCCCTGAAAGCCTAGGACTAACTACCTCGGGCCTCAGTCTCCCCCGCTCTGTGCAATGGGGGAGGGAGGAAGAAGTGGATGGGGCCTCCCTCCACTCGGGCGCCTACTGCCCCCTCCTCTGATTTGAAACCCGCTCAGCTGGCTGACCCGGGCTAGTGACAACCACTTAGAACCTGAGTTTCCACGTTTGTAGAGCCAGAAGAAAATCATTCCCGACCTCAGAGGGTTGTGCATGAATCACGGTGTAGCCCCTACTCGACCCCTCCCAGAGCCTCTCTCCCGAGTCATCAGCCCGCTCTTGACACACTGCCACTCGGCTGCGCCTCAGCGCTTTGGCCGCGACGTTCCTTTCCAAACTTTCAGCACCTGACCTCCCTCCTCCGCCTCCGCAAACTCCTACTTGTCCTCTAGGCCTAGCTCTTCCCCTCACAGACAGAGCCGAGTACCGGGGAAGCTCACGGAATCCCCTGATTCAAGGCTGCGGTGTGCCTTTGGGGCGGTAACCCGTCTCTGGACCTCAGTCTCCTCGGAGAAGAACCACATACACGGTTTCCTAGTTGGGAGCTCACTGATCGCGATTTGCGGAGCGCCTGCGCCCTCTGGTGACAGAGGGATGCACTGCTGCTTGAACCCACCCCCTAGTTTGGCCATCCCCTTTGAGTCTGGCTCAGGCCACACCGGGACCCCCTGAGGCCAAGGCACACCCAGCGGGCCGGCGGCCATAAACGGACACAACCAATCAGTGATAGGGGTAAGGGCAGGCCGGAAGAGAGGGGTAGAGGCTGTCCACTCAGTGATCACCCTGGGAGGGGGGGTACCCGGAGGAGGGGGCTCTGGGGCTGAAATAAGGGGCCGGGACCTTCTCCCAGGGCCAAATAGAGCCTAGAAAGAGGACAAGAGGCTATAAGCCCAGGAGGAGGTGGGGAATGGAGTGACCCTGGGGGGATGGGAAGGCTCTTTCTTTTCGGTTTTTTGTTTTGTTTTTTCTTTTGGCCAAACCAAACTCAGCTCGAGGGATCTTAGTTCCCCAACCAGGATGGAACCCGCGCCCCCTGCAGTGGAAGCCCAGAGTCTTAACCACTGGACGGCCAGGGTAGTCCCAGGAAGGCTCATTCTGAGCCAGTGCCCTCAGTCCGCTTCACAGATGGGTCCCCAGAGGCCCAGAGAGGGGCAGGGCCTCACTAGAGGTCACACAGCAACTCCACAAGCTTCACCCCTCCAGTATCTTAAGGAAGCTACCAGTGAGTGGGACCAGGAGGACTGTAGGGTGAGACCAGCCCCAATTTCCCTCGAGTCACAGGGAAAGGGAAATAACTACAGGGCCCCTTCCTGCCTCACCCCTTGCCGGCTATGCCTCGGTTTCCACAGCTGCTCAGGCAAGAGTCCCCACACCTGGGGGCCGTTGGGACAAGTTTGCAAGCCTGTAGGCAAAGCATCTAGTGTGTGCACTGATGGAAAAAAAGGGGGCTGCGGGTGGGGAGCCAGGTTCGAGCTGCTTCCTGCTTCCGCCCATCTTGCAGATGGGTATGGTGAGGTCTGCCTTCCCCAAGAGGAGGTGGCCAGGGCAGCCCAGAGAGGCCAACACCCTCCTCAGCCACATAGCACGGTGCTGGGGCACAGACTTACTCTTTCTGTTGGCCCTGTTCTGCTCCCGACTGGCTGTATGGCCTGAGGGTGGGGGACTGAGGTTCAGAGCAAGGTAGGGACATGCCCAACACCTAAGACTCCCAGCCTGATGTGACCCCACCCCAAGTCTTCTCCCTGCCTGGGATGCAGTCCCACCCGCTCACCTGCAAACACCACCAGAACCCCCAACCCAGCGAACAACCCTTCCTGTAAAAACTGGTAAGGGGCACTGGCAGGGCGTGAGACAGAGGCCTTCTCTGGGAATCAGAGACACCAGGCCTGGGGCTAACGTGGCATCCTAGGGTCCAGAGAGGAGGAACTCCCAGTTCCACCAAGGGATTCCCCCAGACTCCATATGGAGGGGTCTCCCCCACAGCATAGCCTCTAGGTCGAGGGCGTCCCGGCTCTGGAGGCCGGGGGGGGGGGGGCGCGCCCAGACCCTAGGAGGAGTTCCTGGAAAAGAGGGTTTTGGAGGGGGGTAAGTAGGTGGGTGTCCCACCCTGTAGGAGGGTCCACAACCTGAGGAGGAGGTCTCCACATCTTGAGAAGGGTCACCCGACCACACAGCCTCTAAGTTGAAAGGCTGGCTTTGGAGAGGGGCGCCCAGACCTGGGTAGAGGGTCCCGGGGGATCCTGGCTCGGGGTGGGGGGGATGAGCGGCTCACCTAGGAGCAGCAGCTGCCGCCGCCGCAGGTATGTCTCGGCGGCCGCGTAGTCGCTGGACACCGCATTTACACCCACGCTTCGGCCCTCGAGCCAGTGGGTGACCGCCCCGCCGTGCGCCGCCACCTCGAGAGCTGTCACCCGCAGCGGTGACGCTGCCTCTAGCAGCACCCGGCCGCACAGGCGCTCCCCGCCGCGGTACGCGCCGCACGGGTCCCGCGCCAGCTCCAGCGCGAAGCTGCGCACGCCCCCCGGGCGCATGGCTCGGGCCGGGGCGCACGGCTGGGCTGCCGCACCCGGCGCGGGCCCGCCGGGCACCCGGCGACCAGGCGCACAGCTGGGGCGCGTCTGCAGACCTCCCTGGTCTCAGCGTTGGTCTTCGCCGCACCGGGCGCCCCCCGATCGTTCTCTTGCTTCTGCGAACTTTGTGCGGGCGCCGCCGTACCCGGCCGGCGCGTAGTTGGCGGACTTCCTGGTCCTCCGCGTCGGCCCCCGTGACGCGCTCGGGCCTCCGGGGACGTGCCGCCCGCGTGTCCGTGCGGCTGACTTTGCTACCCCCAGGGCGGGGCGGGCCCTGTTTTTTTGAGTCAGAGGCGGGCGGGGGCGGCTGTGGCTGGCGCGGAGCGGAGGCAGCCACCGGGCTCTGTGTTGTGGACTCATTCGTCCCCTACACGGCACCTTTGGACCGGGCGCCGCCCCAGCCTCCATCTGGTTGTTCCGCAAACACACCAAGCTCGGGTCTTGCTTCTTAGCCTTTGCACTGGCTGTCGCTGCTAGGAACGCCCTTCCCCAGATCTGCTCTCCACCCACCCACGCCCAAATGTCACCAGAGTCATTCTCTGGACTTATTTCTTTACGGCTCTGGTCGCTGTGTTTGTGACCGCTGTGTGTTTACTATGCCTCCTCCGTCAGACTGGGTGCTCCCAAGGGTGAACACTGTGCCCTATTTTCGGCATCCAATCTTACAGAAGAGGAAACTGAGGCCCCCAGAGGGGCAGCCACCGCCTAGAGGCATCCACCGGTGTCAGAGTCAGGACTCGAACTCACATCTGACCACAGCCCACTGACACCTCCCCAGACCCTTCTTGCTCTTGTGCCCCACCTATCACTTCCAGCCAGGTGGCCCATGGCCTTATCGGAGGCTGCCAGAGCCTGGGCTCTCAGCTGGACCCAGATTAGCCTCCCTCTCCACCCAGGGCCCAGCATCTGCTTGCCTCCCCTACCTGACTCCAGCACTCCGAGCCCAAGGCCTGGAGGGACCCTTTGACTCTACTTATGTCTAGAACCTTCCCCTCCATCCTGCCCCAGAGGGGCCCCTCAAACGCCAGGATCACACCACTCCCCTCCCCATGGAGTGCCCTCCACCAAGTCCATTCTTCCCTTTGGCCTATGGACCCCTGAGTTTAAATCCTGGCTCACCCCTCCCTCCTCACTCTGTAGCCCCAGGCAGGTGGCTTGACTCCTCTGAGTCTCCCCATCCTACCCTGCTCAGGTTCTGGTGAAGAGTCAGTGTGATAATTTACATTACATTGCCTATATACAGCAGGTGCTCAATCCGTGTCCGCCGAAGACTGAATGGCCCTCCTCACCCATGTCACTTCCCCCACTGGACCATGACCCACAGCTCCGCTGGCCCCTAGTGGGTGCTCCAGCAAACCAGCTGGAAGGAAGTCCTGACTCTCTGCTGCCTCCTGTAGGCCAGGGCTGGGCCATGCTCTCTGCAGGGCCCCTCAATCGGTGTCAGGTGGGACCGGCGCAGATGTCCTCAGGGAGGTGTCTCTGATTGAGTTCAGGCCCGGGAGACAACCTGCCTAGGATGGGGATGGGGATGGGCTCACCTTGACCCCCACATCTGGTCTGGAACCCCAGGGCCGGGTATCTACTCCCCATGTTGTGATTATGAGTGTCCCCCAGCCACGCACAACAGGCAGCAAGTGGGTGGGTCCTGCTTTATTTGGAACTGGCAAGGACCCCTTTCCTGGCTGCTCCGCACCCACCGGGAGCCTGGGGAGAGCCGGGGGTTGGGGGCGGCAGAGGACCAGAGGAAGCTCCAGGCTCTCCCAGCTCCAATCAGGGAGGAAGCCAGTGGTGGCCCGCCCCTGCCCTTGCCTGCCGTATGGCCCTGCCCTCTGCCCGGACAGTCTGGCGGGCCCCAGTCCAATCAGCCCAACTCGGTTTCAGCTCCTTGAACTCCAAGAGGCGCCACTGTACAGGGCTTCTTGGCTGGCGTGGAGGTGGCGGCCACACGATGGCCAAGATTGAGGAGTCTGGTGGCAGGCAGAGCCGTCACCCGCAGTCTGAAGGGGCCGTGGGTGGCCGCCGGTGTGGGGGACTCCGAGCCACCGGGTCCAGGGGGCCGGAGCCAGGCCGGGGAGGCAGGGGTGGTGGAGGCGGGCGTATGGCTTGGGCGATGAGGCCCGGCAGGGCCTGCAGGGAGACGCCCAATGCGTCCAGGCGGCTTTCAAGGGCAGCCAGGCGGGCCTCAAGCTCCTCGTGCTGGGCGTGCAGCTCGGACATGAGGTTGTACATGACATTCTGGGTCTGTCAGAGACAGGGAAGGTGGGAGAGAGGAGAGGCCAGGTGAGAGAGAGGGAGGGGTGGTTGCAGAGAGATGGCAGACCAGCCCCGGTTGGGTGGCGGCCCAAGTGAGGAGCAACTGTGAGCGCACCCCCAAACCAGCCAAAGGCATCTTGCTGGGCCCCAGGGAGCGGTGGGAGGATAGGCGAGGGGAGCGGAGACACAGGTCTTGAGTGCCAGGCTCGGAGCCAGCAGACCAGGGGAAGGTCAAGGGACGTCTTGGGGCCCAGCGGATGTGACCAGAGTTGCCATGAGGGGATGAACTAGCTGCATGGTAAAGCCAGAGGGTGGTCTTGGGTGATTCTGGACTGGTGTTGCTCCAGGCTGGGGACACGGTCGAGGGGGAGGAGGCTCGGTTGTGAACTATCCCCTGCTTTCCACATTCGACTGGGGAGGGGATAGAAGTCTGGGGGCGGGGAGAGGTGACCACCCCAAGAATCTGACCCTATCACAGACCGGGCAACACGACAGCCACAACAATTACATTACAGCAGGTCGTGGGACATCCCTGCCACCTCGACTGCTCCCCACAACCCAGCAAGCAGGGGCTGGTTCTGCCACAGTCCAGATGGGCCCGGGAGTTGCAGTGGGTAGGCGGGACACGCAGAACAGCCCTAGTTGCAAATGCCGCTCTAACCACCAGGTGGCGCTAGATCACCGTTCCGAGTCTCAGCCCAGCTCCGCGCAGTCTAGACGCCCAGACAGACCGCAGCTCACCGCCCGTCCTGGGCCTCAGATGCGAGGGCTGAAGGGGCTGTGCCACACCCTACCCCACCCCAACCTCTCGATCTGTGGGAGGGAGACAGGTCATCCACCCCACAGCTCCTTCTTTCCGCACTGTACTTGCAGCCTCTCCCTTCCGGTCCGAAAACCTTTACCTGAGCCCTGCCTTCCACCCTTTCCTGTTACTGGTAGGCCAACCCCATCCAAGGATGAACAAATGCCTCTGCCCGCTTCCCCCCACCCCACCCCCGTAGGGCTCCAGACCCTCACCCCAGCCCGCCTCAAGGGGTCACACAGTCCCCCGGGGCCAGAGAGTAACATCTGGAGGCATCCAGCCCTTGGATGGTTCTTTTTTGGCCCTCTCTGAGGTTTAAACTTTTATTAGAATATACATTTTGTTTTTGTTGGAGAGATACAAATTAAATCAGCAACCTTGGAAAGCATTAAAATTTAATACTGGAAAACATTTTAACCTCGTTAAATTAAAAAAAAATTAGAAACCCTATAATCCAATCCAGTGAAAGGCTTATTTGGAAGCCTTCATTAAATGTATTTTGAGAGGAGTATACTGCTGTAATTATAAGGTTTAAATAACTTTTATAAATTCACATTTTAATCATCTGTACTAATGAAGGAAGTGTGATATGGATAATCCAAACTATAATATCTAGTACCTGAATTTTTCAAAGGCATTCGATATGTATTTGGAGCTGTAATCTCATATGACATCAAATTAGTTGGCCAAGGATTTCTACATGCTCTTAGGATTATGTTCTTTCTACTACCGATTGAATTATTTCTTCAGCGTTCTAGAATATGTTTTTTCCTCTGTAATGTTCCCTTTCAAATTAAGTTTATGTGGGTTAGTATTAAATTTTTTTTTTTATTTTTTGGCACTCTGTGCAGCATGAGGGATCTCAGTTCCCCAACCAGGGATTGAACCCCTGCCCCCTGCAGAGTCCTAACCACTGTACCTCCAGGGAAGTCCCCCGTTAGTATTTAATTAAATTGCATTGGAGCCAATTTGCAAAGTTCACACGTGAACTATTTATGAAAGGGCAAAAGGGAGTTCAGAAGAGTGTGACAAATATTCTAAGAGCTTGCCCAACTGAAGTTGAGTCGGTTGACATATCTTCTAATGGATGAATAAAAAGCGGGAAATTGGGGCTTCCCTTCCCTGGTGGCGCAGTGGTTGAGAGTCCGCCTGCCGATGCAGGGTACACGGGTTCGTGCCCCGGTCTGGGAGGATCCCACATGCCGCGGAGCAGCTGGGCCCGTGAGCCATGGCCACTGAGCCTGCGCGTCCAGAGCCTGTGCTCTGCAACGGGAGAGGCCACAGCAGTGAGAGGCCCGCGTACAGCCAAAAAAAAAAAGCGGGAAATTGGATGGGACCTGACATTAGAACCAACAAATAGATCCATTTATAACACACACCGATCTTACAGAGCTCTTGCAATCAACTTTAATTTCCTGAAAGATGTTTAATTGCTATACAAATAAGCTTTCTCCTGATGCTATAATTTGAATTTATAACCCTAGCAAAAGAAATTTGTTTTTCTCTTAGATTTTAGAGCTTGTATGTAGATGACATTTCTAAATACGAAAGTACCACTTCACCAATTTAGCCCACTAATTACATATTCTTATTAAAACTTTTTATTAGCTATTAATTAAAAATATAAAATAGATGCCCCCCCCCAAAAAAAAAGGCTGACAAAAATTGGGACTTCCCTGGTGGTCCAGTGGTTAAGACTCCACACTTCCACTGCAGGGGACGTGTGTTCGAACCCTGGTCAGGGAACTAAGATCCCACATGCCGCATGGCGTGGCCAAGAAATTAAAAAAAAAAAAAAAGGCTGATAAAACAGCCGCCAATGTTAAAAAGTAAAGATTTTACACACAGATGTAGATTTCTGGCATCACTCTAACAACTGGAGCCTCTGGTCACAGTGGACCCCTGCAGACAGGGCTCTTATTCCCTGGTGGCTGGTCCCTGCCTGCCCTGCATCACTTGCCTGGGTCACCTGTCTATACTATGGGCACCAGCCCTGTCCCTCCCTCCCTGGCAGGAGCTGGGCCTTGTCCTTTACGGAACATCCCTCATCCTCCTCTGAGGGTCTAACCAACTCCTTCTGGACCAGGGGGCTGCCCCACCTCACCCTGCCCTGCTCACCTTGGCCAGGTCTGCGAGCGTGTTGGTCTGGTCATTCAGCTTCCCTTGCTCAATCTTCACACTCCGGAGCCTGTGGGACAGGTGGGAAGGTGGGGTTGTGCAGAGGCTGCAGTGGGGTCAGGGTTCCTCCATGCACCCACCCCACCCAGAGTCACCTTGTGGGATATGCAGTGGGGGGTGAGGGGCAAGTTGGAGGTTAGCCCCCTTGCAGCCCGTTCCCTCCTGGCATGCAGGGGGCAGCAGGGCCTGGAGGGCGGTTCTGCTACCACCCACAGTGCCCACATGCACTAACCCCCAGGAAGAGACTTACTTCTGAGCTCTGGCAGGACCCAGCGGAGCAGGGAGAAACCACAAGGCAATTTTAATCTCAGCACACCTGGGCAGCCCATGCCCAACCCTCCCACGTGCACCACCCCAGGGCCAGGCTGGGGGCCCTGGACGGCGGAGGGGCTGCTGCCCTTGCTCTAGGGAGAGGTCCAGCCTCTGAGGGGGTGGTACCAGCCCTCAGGGATGCATCCTCCCTCTGCCCACTCCCTCCAGCAGTGCCTCACAGCAAATGCAGCTGCCTCCGGCCCTGCAGCCCCACTGTATGCCTGCCTGTGCCAAGCTCCTGGCCCTGAAGGGGACATTTAGTCCAGAAAACTATGCCCATACCATTTCCCAAAGGGGAAGTCAAGGTTCAGAGGGGCAAAGCCGGTGCCCACTGGCATCCTAGCAGGATTTGCACCTGAGTCTGCCACTCAGCCTCTGAGACCTTGGCCCCTGGACAGCTGCCTATGGGGCTGGTGGGGGGGGGGGTGTTGTCCTCACCCCTTCTCTCCACCCCTTCTGTAGCTAAACCAGCCCAGGGAGACCTTTCCAGGTAGGACTCTCCTTTCCTCCTCACTAGTCCAAACTCAACCCTTGCACACCCACATGTGATAGATGCTCGGAGAGGCCCCTTGGGGCCCACCTATGCTGGGTGTTGCCAGGACCCCTGAGAGGACCCAGCCCTCGGTCTGGAGAAGTGGAGGTGGATACAGACACCCCTAGCCCTGGAAGTTGGCAGGGACTTGCTAAGGAGCCACTGACATGCCTGCCCTGGGCAAGTCATTCCTGGCATCTCTGGAACCTTCCTGTTACAGGTTGAATGGTGTCCCCCCAGAAGATATATTGAAGTCCTAACGCCCAGAACCTCAGAACGTGACCTTCTTTGGAAATAGGGTCTTTCCAGATTTAACTAGGTTAAGATAACTGGTGTCCTTATAAAAAGGGGGAAATTTGGACAGACACATACAGAGGGAGGACAATGTGAAGATACAGGGAGAACATCATATGAAGATGGGGGACTGGAGCAATGCTTCTCTAAGCCAAGGAGCATCTGAGGCTACCAAAAGCTAGGAGAGAGGCCTGGAACAGATCTTCCCCTGATGCCTTCAGAGGGAGAACGGCCCTGCCGACACCTTGATTTTGGACTTCTGGCCTCCAGAGCAGTGAGATCATAAATTCTGTTTTAAACCACCCAGTTTGTGGTACTTCTGTTAAAGTAGCCCTAGGAAATGTGTACGCTTCCCAAACCTATGCTGTGTTCCTCAGTTTGTCCTCTCCAAGACCACTGTTTCCTTTTCACTGGCTGCTCATACTGCATTCCCATCATGGGGACTCTCCAGCTCAAGAAGATGCCGTGGCTCCCTCATACCTGCAGGTGGTACCTCTGGTCTCCCTCGCACTGTGCTCATTCCCACCTCCCCGCCTTTGCCCAAACTGTGCACACTCCCTGGTATGCCTGCCCGCCTCTCGGTTTCCTACCCAAATCCCATCCACCCTTCAGGCCCTAGTTCAAACTTGCTTGATTTCATCAGCTGTTCTCATAAGGCCACTGTTTTTTTGGAAGTGTTCAGGGGGACCTAAGGGTGAGCGAGATAGTCCTTCCCCAGAACAAAGGGACAAAGGTCACTCACAGAGCAGGTGCCTTCTCCACAGACCTAACTCTCCTCAATTCCTACCCTCCGACTTCTCCCAAAGAACCTTCTGGGACATCCCTTGGGGCAAGGTCCAGAGCAGAGCCATGTCTGTGTCCCCCGTGCCTGGCACACCAGCTGGTGCAGGAAATGTTTGTGGAATGACCAAATGAACATATCGAGGGTGGTAATAACAACAACAACAACAGTTCCCATTTTCAGAAAATACTGTGTGACAGGCAGGTGCAGACAAATCATCTGGTCACCCCAATTGTTTGATCCACACTCCATTCCTGGAGAAGAGGCATGTCACCGTTGTCTCCACTTTACAGATAAGAAAACGAAGCTTGGACTACTGTAGTCACTTGCTTAGGCCCCACAGTTAGGTGGCAGAGACTAGATTGGGACCCAGTGGTCAGTAAAGGACTGTTGAAGGGTCAACAAGGAGGGCCTTGGGGTCTTATGAGGAAATAGGACTAACACCTGGGCACAGTGAAGTCAAGCAGGTGGGGCACCAACTCCTCTCCCTGCTTCATAGGTGATAGGTGAAGCAGAGGTTGGGGGTACCATGTGTTACTGACTGCTTGCTCTATGCCAGGAACTATGCCAGGCATTTCTGCACATCACTCCATTTAGACCTCCCCACAGTCCCATGAAATAGGGACTGTTATCATGAGAAATTAATCCAATCATAACAGTAAACACGATAAATGTAAATGGACTAAACTCTCTAGCTAAAAGACAAGGATACTAGGGGCTCAAGGAGACTTTTAGAGTGATGAATCTGTTCATTATCTTGACTGTGGGGCTAGTTTCATGGATGTATACATATGTTAACACTGATCAAACTGTACACTTTAAATAGCTGCAGTTGACTGTATGTCGATTATAGCTTAATAAAGCTGTTCTTTTAAAAGAGGCAAAATTATTAAATAGGATTAAAAAATTAAAGTCAAGCTGACTGAGCTTCCTCTCCCATGGCCTGATCTCGCTATGGTCACACTCCATTACCCTCTTGTGCCCCAGGAGCTGACCGTCCCAGCCACACCCTGGGGTCTCCCCACAATAAGCTTCCTGGCTCTACCGCTCACACCAGGGTTCTCTGTGCTGCCTCTCATCTCTGTTCCCTATGGGTGACTTGGTTGCCTTCCTGTTGTACTAGTTCAGACCCTAACATTGTTTGCCTCGCTTTCTGGTTCATCAGCCCCTGAGTCTGGCCTGAGAGTTCTTGGGGCAGGGATCCATCTGATTTTCCTAGGGAAGCCCAATTGTGAATGAGGTTTTCCAGGATGTAAGAGCTGGGAATGCATGGGCCCATTCTGAAAAGTGCTTAAAAACACGTTGTTTTCTATTTTAAATCAGCTACTATGTGACTCAACTGTAATTTATATGTGAGTGCCCAATCCCACAAGATTTGAAACTGTTTAAATTCTAGACTGTGTACTGTCCCATACATCCTATATGTAGCTACTGAGCATTGAAATGTGGCTGGTCTGAATAAAAACGGGCTGTAAGTGTAAAATACGTACCGGACTGCAAAGATTTAGTATAAAAAACTTTCTAAAATATCTAATTAATGATTTTTATATTAATCACATATTAAAATGATAACATTTTGGATATATTAGATTGAATAAATATATTAAAATTAATTTCAACTTTTAAATTATGTATGTGGTTCACATATTTCTTGTGGACAGTGATTGGCATACTATGGTCTATAGGCCAAATCTGGACAGCTGTTTGCTTTGGAAAATAAAGCTTTATCAGAGCATAATTACAGCCATTCATCCTTGCTGTCTTCCTGCTACAACAGCAGAGTTGAGTAGCTGTGACATAGACATTTTGGCCCACAAAGACTGAAATAATTAATATCTGGCCCTTTACAGAAAAAGTCTGCCAACTCTGGCTGCACACTGGACTCACCTGAGGAACTTAAACTTGAGCTCAGGCTGTATCCCAGACTCTACTGTAACTGGTGTTGGGTATGGCCTGTAGGATTTTATTTTATTTTTTAAAAATTTTCAGCCATGCTGTGCGGCTTCTGAGATCTTAGTTCCCCAACCAGGAATCAAACCAGCACCCTCAGCAGTGAAAGCGTGGAGTCCTAACCACTGGACCACCAGGGAATTCCCAGCCTGTGAGATTTTAAAAAGCACCCCCACGTGACCCCAATGAGCAGCCAAGATGAGAACCACTTGATTAAATAATTCTCAGGAAAAAGGGACAACAGAGAAAATTAAGTAATCTCTAATTATCCCACATGATCACATGAATCAGGCCACAGATTTAATTCTGAGCTTCCTGGAAGCCAAAGCAAAAAGGGGAAATTGCTTCAGTGTCCAAGGGGAGAGTCATTTTGGCTATTTCAGAGAATAAAATATGCTACCTGCCACTATGTTGGGTGGTTTGCATGATTTATCAGAGGTGACTGTTCTGGACAAGTGCTGGGTCCATCACCTGCCTCCCTCCGACCAACCCACTATCCCACCCAGCACAGAAGCTGCAGGCCCCAACCAACTGACCACCTGGCATGGGAATGGCCATGATGTGGCCATGACGAGCTGTCTGGCCTAGTCTGCAGCCTCCTCCCCGGGGGCCAGGGCTGCCTCCGTGCCAGGTGGACACAGAAATGCAAGTGGGAAAGGTGTTGGACTTACTGATGGATGGCTTGGAGGAACTTACGCTGGTGTTTCCGAACCCGGGCGTGGTCTGGCTTTTTCACCAGCCTGGTGTGTTTGTAGATGAGCCACGTCTCCCTGAGAACGTTAGCAGCGGCGTTTTTTACCTGAGGCCAGAGAAAGAACAGTTCCTTAGAGTAGCACAAAACTATGGAAGGCTCTGGAAACCTCCAGAAACTCCTGGAAATGCCCCTCTGGGGTCCTGGGACTGTAGGTCAGGACCATGTTTACACATCCACATCTGTGCTGTGTGTGTGCACGCGTGTGTCTGCCTAACACACATCACTCACCATGGGCCAGACCCTTTCTATACAACGTGCAAATGTTAACTCAGTCAATCTACACACGCCGGTATCTCTCTCATTTTATACGTGAGGAAACAGAGGCACAGAGAAGCTGACCTGCTGAGTTCATCCGGCTTATAAATTGCATCTGGTTGCCTCACCACGAATCCCTGACTCTTGCTGAGGGGCCCGTGACTGGGCTGTGACTGGGCACAGAAGTGGACACCTGTGCACAGCTTAAGGGTGTTCACATGGTGGTACAGCCCAGGGCAGTCTGGGCACACACAGGCAGCGCGGCATGACCCGTGGGCACGTGTGCAGAAGTAAGGTGAGGAGGGTCTGCCCTTGAGGACCAGAAGGCGAAGTGGCTGTGATGGGGCTGGCGTCCTTACCCGCTTGGTGAGCTGAGTGTCCATCATGAAGTTGTGCACGTGTTTCTCTGCCTTGGTGAGCTCCAGCTTCCGGGCCACCACGGCCACCACGAGCGCCGTGCAGCCAGCCCCCTGCATGAAGAGGGCGAGGGGGCATGTCAGGGTCCACCTCGTATGGGTTGCAAGTAGGATACCCTCCTTCCTCCAGGAAGCCCTCCTGGTTCCTCCCCCTCACATTTGCCCTCCAAACCTGCAGGGTTGGCAAATCCCATCTTCTGAGTTCACTGACTCCCAACCCCGCTAGCTTAATATCCATCAAACGTCCAGGGAGCCTGTGCCATAAATTAGTTCATTTGATCCCCAACAACCGCGGGAGGTAGGACCGCTCTTATCCCCATTGGGCAGAGGGGGAAAGTGAGGCTCGGAGATAAGAGAAAGCGCAAGAAACAGGCAGGATCTGCACGTACATTTGGGGCTGAGGCCCACGGAGGTGGGAGGATTGGGAAGCATTTCCATCCAGGCTTTGGGGTCTGGATGATGGGGACAGAGACCCGGCTGACATGTTGCTGGCCAGTCATGGGGGCGGATTCTGCTGGTAGGGTCAGAAGGGTGGCGAGAAAGAAGGGTCAGGCCCGCTGCCTGCGGTGGGGCATTTGCAGGAGGAAAGAGGCAAAGTATTGGACCCAGGATGCGGGGAAGTAAAGGGAGGGGACACCTTCCCCGTGATGGGTACCCTGCTCTAGCAACCACCCTCCCCAGTATGTTCTGAATGGCAGCCAGTCCCCCGGCTAGGGAAAGAGGCCAGAGAGGACTTGCTTGTCCACTTGGGGGCCACTTGAGAGACAGAAGGGCAGGAGTGAGGACCCGAGGGGGAGGGCAAGGCTCAGAGGTAGGGGTGGGGGGCAGTGAAAAGTGATGCAGAAGGAGGGCGGGAAGGGGGACCTTCTGCCACTGAGAACCAGGAGACGGGGAGCCCAGGACATCCAGGTGTCATCAGCCCCAGGAGTGGTGTGGAGCAGGTGGCAGGGGCCAATGAGGGGGGCCAGAAGGTGGCTCCCCACCTGCGCTGGAGGCTGTCTTTGGCACCGCACCCACCTGCTGCTTCCTCCTGCAGCTACTGCATACAGGATGGAAGGAAGGAAGAGACCTGGGCTCAGCCTCTGAGGGCCAGGGGAGTGGCTAGTTTTTCTTCCGAATGGAAGGAAACATTTATGGGGAAGGGTGGGCACAAAGTCGCCCCCTGAGGAGACCCCATCATGCGTTCCTGGCCAGGACGAAGGTCTTGGGAAGACTCAGGAGTCTGTGTTCAAGAAAAGCCCTGTCAACTGGGGCAAAGAAACATACTGGAAACCTCCATGTAGAACACTATGCCCCCAGGAAAAGGACCAGCCAATGACTCCGCACAATAGCATGGATGCCACGTCCGGCAAAAGACACTGAGTTCAGAGGCCATGCTGGGATGCCTTGAAGTTCAAGAATGAGCAAATGTGTGCTTTATAAGCTATTGGACGGGGGTGAGTCCGTGGGGCAGAGACTGGGAGGGGACACACTTGGGCAAGGGTAGAAGAGGAGAGGTCTAACAGAAGAATTTGAAGGTGGCTTAAAAGACCAATGTGTGGGGAATTCCCTGGTGGTCCAGTGGTTAGGACTCTGCGCTGTCACTGCCGAGGGCCCGGGTTCGACCCTTGGTCAGGGAACTAAGATGCCACAAGCCATGCGGTGTGGCCAAAAAGAGAGAGAGAGAGAGAGAGAGAGAGAGACCAATGTGTGGCTTCGTGTGATACCTGGCTGTGTGGTGACAGAGAAAAGCAAAAAACATCCCTGGGTGTAAACATTCCTGCACGTGCCGGGGGCGCGGGTCTGGAATGAGCCACAGGGTAAACAGGGAACTAATTTTCTGGAAGGAGCCTCATCCCAGAGAAGAGAACCTGGCTTTTCTGTTTCGCTGCGGGTTTTCTGGGTTTAAAGCCATCATCTTATCTGAGAGCTCTTCTTTTTTCGTTTGTAAAGTTCATCTGCCGGGGATGGGGGTAGGGGGGTGGATTGTGGCCGATCTTTAGTTTTTTTCCCTTCCAATCTCACAAAATAGCGTAAGCAAACAGGCATAATGCCTTTTAACTGAGAGAGGGTCTAGGTCAGCTTGTCCAGGAGAAGCGAGGCCCCGGTGGGGGCCAGAGGAGGACGTGGACCCCCAGCTTGTGTCCAAAGAGGAGGGGACAAGAGGTGAAGAGGGGAGAGAGCCACGGGCCTCGGGAGATGGTGACAACAGGGTCAGTCTACATTCAGTGAAGGGGGCTGGGAGGAGCCAATGGAAAGACAGCGCTTCCCTCTGCAGGAGGAAAGGAAACCATGGTGGGGACGGCCTAGTACTTTTCGTTTTTTTTTTTTTGCGGTACGTAGGCCTCTCACTGTTGCAGCCTCTCCCGTCGCGGAGCACAGGCTCCGGACGCGCAGGCTCAGCGGCCATGGCTCACGGGCCCAGCCGCTCCGCGGCATGCGGGATCCTCCCGGACCGGGGCACGAACCTGTGTCCCCTGCATGGGCAGGGGGACTCTCAACCACTGCGCCACCAGGGAAGCCCAGCATAGTACTTTTGCAAGAACAAAAGCATCTCTCTATGAAGAAAAGGAAGTGGCCTGGGGCGGACCCTGGGGGGAATCGGGTTGGTTGACTTCCTTTGGATTGTGGGTGTTCATTTATTTTTTTTCACAAATTGAAACCAAGCAGGGCCCTGTGGGGCTCCTGGGCAACAGAAGCCTTTGGAACAGTTGCTAATCAGGGAAGGGAGGGGAAGGGATGCAGAGACAAGGGAGGGGCAGCCAAGAAACCGTAGTGCAGCCTTGGGGCAGGTCCTGGCTCCACCTTAAAGGATGCACAGAAGAGTATCTTTGAGCTCTTCTGCAGAACTAAGGCCCCCAGCAAATGGAAGATGAACTATTTGATGAAGCAGTCTTCATTCCAGAGAGAAGGTCGTAAGTTTGATAACCTCAAGAACCACAGAAGCTCATCAGGAGATCACCTCAGGTCAGATTAAAGGAATGCAGGCCCTGCACACACTCTGGGCCTTATCAGCAGCTCCGTCCATGAACCATCACATAAAACTCCTCACCAAATCCTCCCAGGTTGGGACACACAGTTTTGCGGGGCATGAGCCTGCTGTGTCCCCCTTTGCCTGGCAAAGCAATACAGCTCCTTTTTCCTACTTCACCCCAAACTCTGACTCCAGGATTTGATTCAGCACCAGTGCACAGAGGCTGAGTTTTCGGCATCAAGATGAACATGCTAGTTGGGGGCTGGGGAGAGAGGGGTTCCCTACTGTACGTCGAACAGTTCATAATTCAAAACACGGAAAAGCACTTGTGGAGATGCAAGAAACTTGGAGAGAAAGAAGGTTCCAGAAGGAAGGGATGGGCAGGGAACCTAATGATCAGATCAGGGTAAAGGGAAGGCACCAGACGCCAAAGTTTGCCCATACAAGCAGGTGGACTTGAGAAGTCTTTAGGGAAGAAGCGGTGCTGCCTGGGCCCACAGGAGTCACAAGAGATAAACCTTACACCCAGGGGCTCAGTGGGGTGCTCAGGACACCCCGGTAGTCAGGAAATGATGGAGAATTGGGCTGTGATGGCAGGGCTCAAAGGGCATTGACTGGGTATCCGAGGCATTCATGACTCTAGGCATTTCCTATAAATGAACGGACTCAGTCCTTGCAACAGGCAGAGGGAGTGGCGGAAACAGAGGCACAGAAGCATCAAGCCTGTTGCCCTGGATCCAAGGGCTGTGAATTGAGCAGGCTGCGGAGCATAAAGGGGTAAAAATGACTCTTGGTTCAGAGTGGACCACAGCATCTGGACTGGAGAATACAGTGGAAGCTACATATCTAGGGCTGGAAGAACCCAAGAGGAGATGTCCCCGGGAAGCCTGAAGGTGTCTTCTGTGTCCCATCAGAGGGAAGGAGCAGGGTGGCGGAGGGGTGGGCTGACACAGGGAGGATCTCTGAACAAGTCCACCTTGAGACGGCGTGGGCTCCCCATCAGTGGGGATGTGCAAGGGCCCTCGCCCTTACCATGATGCCAGTGAGCAGGCACACGCCCTTCCCGCAGTAAGTGTGGGGCACCATGTCGCCGTAGCCGATGGAGAGGAAGGTGATGGAGATGAGCCACATGGCCCCCAGGAAGTTGCTGGTCACTTCCTGCTTGTCGTGATACCTGGGGGTTGGGGGGAGCCAGGGAGGGCCCAGTCAATCCACACTGGTCCCTCTGCTTTCATCACACCCCCAGGAAGGCAGGGCCCTGGGTCTACCTGGCTGCATGGGGGCCTTGACTGCAGGGAGCTGATCACTCTGGAGGCTCAAAGTGTCCAGGGCACCACTATAGGGCAGGGTGGGGGGATGGTTAGTGCCAGGGGCAGCCCTGTGGTCCTCCTGAGGGTACCACAGGGCAGAGGGCAACCACTCCTTCCCAGCATCCCTTCCAACCTTCTTTCACCTGACCCCCAAGCTGCTGGTTATTGGGCAGAGAGGGGTCCACAGGTGGGTGACGCACATGAGCGTGCGCACATGAGGGGGCATGCACATGTGTTCACGCGTGTGCACACAATCCCCCTCCCAAAGACAGACACACAGACAGAGGCGAACACGGGTGGCCACGGGCACCAGAAGCGGCAGGAAGTAGAGGCGAGGATTCAGGTCAGACACTAGGAAGAACTTCCCCAGCCAGCAAGGTCCCAAGGAGGGAGGAGGACCCTACGGGGAGACAGGACCACACCCTGGGGCTTGGGAGTATTAGGAAAGTCAATCTGTGGAGGGCAGTTGCCCCAACCTTGGGCCTGGGGCTCTCCTGGCAGTCAGGAGGGAAGGGGCAGCCTGCATGGCACTGGGGAGAGGCCTGGGACTCAACTTTTGTTATTCAGGGGGACAGACCCCAAGGCTTTGCAAGGACATGGTTTTGTCCCAATCCCAGGCTGTGTGGCCTGGGACCCTGGCCACACAGGCTATGAACTGTTTCTACCTATGGTTAGCCCAGGCTGGGGGACTAAGGGATTGGTTCTCTGGGTCTGGGGATGGCTCAAGGTTCTGCTCCAGCTCAGCCCCCTACCTGCAAAGCCCCTTCAGCTCTGGGAGGTCAGGAAGCCCTTTCCAGCTGACCCCCTCCTTCCTAGGCCGCAGGGGCAGGGCAGGGGGAGCTGGCGGGTAGGGCTGTCCCAGGCAGATGGGGCTGGGGTCAGGGGCTCAAGGTAAGGAGGAGATGGAAACCCAAAAGGTGGGAGGGAGGGTTGGAGGCCTTCCCAGCAGGTCTGGGCTTTGAGAGTCCCTGCCCCCCTGGAGGGTCGGGTGCCATTCCAGGCCCCTTCAGCCTGGACTTCCAGGCTGCTTGCTGGACAAGGGGGACCAGGGACTGCACCCCATCTTTCACGGAGGTATGTGAGCCCCAAGCGGCACCCGCTTCCACCTCTCAGGAGACCAGGGCTCCACACCCAGGAGGCAGGAGGAGGGGGGAACCCATCAGCCATCAGGGGAGGCTCCAGCCCCAGCTGGAGCTATGGTGGGTGCTACAGGACCACCCAGGACCAGGGAGTGGGGGGCATGCAGGAGGTGGGGTGGGACAGAGCCACAGGGGTGGAGCGAGGCAGGCGAGAGGGCGTCAAGCGGTGTCAGAGGGCTCAGAATTTAGGATTGGCTGCCCCCCCGGGCCCTGCCCTATTCCCCACCCTTACCAGGCACCCCTGCAGTGACCCAGCCTGGACCCCAGGGATGCCCGATGCAAGGCACCCTCTCCCACTCCCCAGATCTCAGTCCTGAGGTCTGTAGGAACTGGCACGGGGGCACATTAGGGGTCCAAGGAGTCCCTGTGTGACCCTCAGACAGTAAACCTTGATGACAGAAAGAGCTAGGCCCTCACCCCCGTCAGCCCGACATCAGGCTGAGGCAGGGGTCATGGAGGGGGCGCTTGAAGGGGTGAGGACTGGGGATCTGGGGGCAGGTCCAGCCCAGGAACCTCCCAGGAAGCCCCGGCCCAGCCCCAGCTAGGCACAAGGCAGGAGAGACCCCTTCCCAGACAAGGCACCCCCAGGCCCTGAGAGGTCCAGTGGGGCCCCTCCTCCTCCTGGAACCGCTGGGGGTTTCTGGAAACAATCAGGAACTAGGCCCTCAGGGATGTCCCTTTGCCCCTCAGAGCCTCAGTGTCCTCATATATAAGTCGGGTGGATGGCCCCGCACCTTCCAAGGCCGTTCAGAACAGACCCCTTACGGGGGTCTTAAAAGCTTGGATGGGTTTCTCGTTCACCCCAGACCTCCTTAACTCTCCAAAGGAGCTGTCTGAACCCCTGGGGCCAGCTGCCCCGACAAGGCACCAGAGCTACGTAAGCTCTTCTCCCCCCTTCTCCCCGCCACTGCCCCGCCTTGGTGACAAGGACCCGAGGGATGCCATGTGCACACAGCCCGAGAGTGGCCTGCCTCCCGCTATCCTGGGCTTGGCCCCAGACCCACCTGCCTGGCAGCACTGGGACAGTCTCTCCGCGGGGCCCTGTGGGCTCGGGGCAGGGCCCAGCCACTTGCCTCACCTCCCCACTCCCTCCCCTGGTGGCAGCGGATCTTAAATTCCTGGCGGGCAGGGCAGCTGGCAGCTCTGCACACATAGCTCAGCTGAGGGTAGGACTCACATGTTTTCCCTACAGTCCGGTGGGGCGGGCAGAGGGGAGAAGGAGAGCAGGTTAAATTGTGGGGGGGATAGGTGGATGAGGGGAGGGCCCTGTTCCTGCTGCCTCCGCCACCCTGGGCCAGAGGTTGGGCCAGGGGAGGGGCCCCTGGGGGAGGGGGAGGAGGAAGAGGGATGGGGTCCTAGAGGGGTGCGGGGTAGGGGCTGGAGGGGAGTGGGGACACAGGGCTGGAGTCCCAGGGATGAGGGAGCTGCACTTGAGGGACTGTCACTGAGGCCAGGAACTGGGTATGGTGGGGGGGGCGGTCACCAGGGTCAGAATCATGGAGATGGAGTGATGGCTGGGGGGAGGCCTTGGATGTCTGAAGTCGTGGGTAGGCATGGGGTTCACCAGGGTCAGAAGTCAGGGGGACAGAGTGACGGCTGGGAGAGCCCTGGGGTCACTAAAGTCGTGGGTGGGCATGAGGGTCAGTGGGATCAGGGGTCAGGGGCGCACCTCTCACAGACCCGCACGGTCCAGGCGGCGATGATCCAGGAGGAGATGCTGAAGACAAGGAGCACGGTGCCCGGGCAGATGGTCATGAGCGTCTTCATGACGAAGCGCGTGTTGAAGGTGATCTTGTTGAGGGCGCCGATGCTGCGGCTGGAGGCGTCCGTGAAGATCCTGCTGTGCAGCAACATGACGCGGCCCAGCAGGTAGAGACGCAGGAACATGGGCACAGACAGCAGCACGTCCACGTCGGCCTCGGCCGCTGCCGGCGCGTACGTGAAGGCTAGCCGCGCTGTCCACGTGAAGCGGTAGTGGCCGGGCACCGGGTGGATGGCGCACACGGCCAGCTCCAGGGAGATGAGGAAGACGCGCTCGCACGTCATGGCGATGCGCCAGTCGTCTGCCCCGTTGTCCACCATGAACAGCTGCGGAGGTCAGGCGGGCGGGATGAGGCGGGCCTCGGACACGAGGCCAGGCCCCGGAGCAAGATCCCAGCCGAAAACCCCGTCGGCTTTTACAAGAAACACGGCCTCAAGAGCAAAACTCCCTAGTTCTCAGGGTCGGCCACAATTCAAGCTAAATGTGGCACAGATGTTTCCCCAAAAGTCAAACACAGAGTTACCAATGACCCGGCCACCTCATATAGGCGAGAGAGTTGAAAATGGTCGTTCAGACACGTCCTTGTGTGCACGCAATCACAGCAGCACTGTTCATGGGCACCCAAAGTGGAAACAACCCAAGTGTCCATCAGTGGATGAATGGATAAACAAAATGTGGTCCTTCCACACAATGCAACATTACTCAGCCATAAAGAGGAAGGAAGCATTGACACATGCTACAATGTGGATGAACCTTGAACACATCAAGCTGAGTGAGAGAAGGCAGTCACAAAAGGCCACCACTCGGGGCCAACGAGGCAATGTTGCCACCACAGTGGGCCTCGAAGTTGGGGCGTCGAGCCAAGGAAGACCACACTCCAGCCTTCAAATCTAACGGGATTTGCCTGGCTAGGTCTGAGAGAAGTGTAGGACCTGCCACCCCTTTCTTCTTTCATATTTCTCCCTTCTGGAACGGGAATGTCTATCCTATGCTTATTCCACCATTGTATTTTGGAAGCACACAACTTGTCTAGTCACAGTTGGAGGAAAATTTTGTCTCAGGAGGAACAGTACCTCGAATCTCACCCATGTCTGATTTAGATGATATTTAAATGAGCCTTTGGACTTAGAGTTGACGCTGGAATGAGTTAAGACTTTGGGGGCTGCTGGGATGGGATGAGTGCATTTTGCATGGGAGAAGGACAAAGATTTGCAAGGTGGGCCAGAGGGTGGAGTGTTATGGACTGAACTTTGTCCCCTCAAAATTCATCCGTTGAAGCCCTAGCCCCCAGTATGACTGTATTTGGAAATAGGGCCTTTAAAGACATAATTAAGATTAAATGAGGTCATAGGAGTGGGGTCCCAATCCTACAGGACTGGTGTCATTTTATAAGAAGAGGAAGAGATACCAGGGATGTGTGAGCACAGAGCAAAGGCCATGTGAGGACACAATGAGAAGGTGGCCGTCTGCAAGCCAAGGAGAGAGCCTCAGGAGAAACCAACCCTGCCAGCACCTGATCTTGGACTTCCAGCCTCCAGAACTGTGAGAGAATACATTTCTGTTGTTTAAGCCACTCGGCTGTGGTGCTACAAACACACAGCGCTTCCTTCTTTTTTCATTTGGCTGAATGGTATTCCATTGTACGGATGGACCACATTCTGTTTATCCATACATCAGTCAGTGGACATGTGGGTTGTTTCCTCTTTTTGGCGATTGTGAATAATGCTGCTATGAACATACGTGTACAAGTTTTTGTGCGGATGTAGGTTGTTGTGTCTCTTGGGTGTGTAACTAGGAGGGGAATTGCTGGGTCATATGGTAACTCCATGTTTATCTGCTTAAGGAACTGCCAGACTGTTGTCCACAGCTGTATCTTCAGAACTGCTTCCTTTAGTTCAGGGGTCACTGTCCCCCTCCCCCCAACCCCCAGCCAGATCAGGGACCCCTCCTGTGTGCCAGACCCTGGGTGTCCCCTGACAGGTCTGCATACAGTGCAACGCAGGCAGGATTTTCCTACACCCATCTCCTGCCATACTGTGGCTCCTTGAGGTCAGGGGTCAAAGGTCAGACTCAAGAGCCACATCTGACACCTTTTGGTGTCCCCAGGCCTTGGTGCCAGCCTGCTGTGGTAACGCCTGCCTGACAAGCCCTGAACTGGGCTCTCCAGGAGCCTGACCAGGTTTTGATCAACCCCTGAAATAGAATAAACTCTCTGGCACAAGATAAATCTTTCAAAAACAGGGTGCGATGGACTAGGAAAAGGAGCCTGGTGCTACAAACACTGGACCCCATGGCTGCAAAACCTCGGAAGACCCAGGGCTGTGAAAACAACCCACGTGCACCAGAACCCCAGCCCACCTCCTGCTCCCCCAATGTTGGTGTTCTTTACCAAAGAATCAATGAAAATTAAAATGAAGATATGCATTCCAAGGAAATTTAGAGTGATCTAAACAGTGTGTCTCCACAGAAGTCCTTTTTTTTTTTTTTTTTTTTTTTTACTATAAAGAGGCTACTGATACTTTTATGTCTTAGAGGGCTGGGTTCCCAGGTGGCTGGGGGGAGGGGAGCTGCCCCAACCCCACTGGGCACTGACCTGGATCTCCCGGGCGTGGTAGAGGACGACCAGGCCCAGCAGGATGACGGTGGAGAGGCTGATGAGGCATTTGAGTGCAAATGAGTACAGGGACTCCTGGACAAAGAGAGAGGGCAGAACAGACACTGTCAAGGCAGGCAGCCCTCCTGACCCCCCACCTGGTCACTTCACTCAGAAAGTGAAGCTCCGGTCCTCACTCCTCAGGCCTGGGCTGAGAGCAAGGCGGGCCCAGCACTTCGGCTTATAAGGCCTGGCTTCACATGGGTACAGCACGCTACAGTTTACAAAAACTGACCTCATGCAGACGTAGCACTTCCCGGTTTACAGGCTGACATGGCTCTCATCTCCCTCTGTCCTCACATCCACTTGGGGACCCATGTAACCTGGTCCTGACCGCTCTTGAAAAAGGGAAAGCTCTTTCCCTGCTCCTCGTGCAGCCCTTCTCTGGGGCTCCCCCCTCCCCCCGCTTGACCTTGGGAGGCAGCCCCATCCCCACCTTCAGCCAAGGTGCAGCCCCTTGTTGCAGGGCAGAGGAAACGGGCTGGAGGCTTCTGGGCCCACCTGCAGCCTTCCTGCTGCCCCCACGGGGTGGACACAACAGGAGGCCCAGGGGCCCCCACCTTCCCACCTCCAGGGACCCCTCAGCATCCCCCACCCCCCTCTCCCAGGGCTGATGTGGCCCCCCACCCCGTGCCCAAGGGGTCTCAGGGAGCCCAGTGGGACCGGCAGGGCCTCCCTGGGGTGCCAGGGGGAAGGGCCACACCTACCTTGCTGTAGACCCCCCAGGACAGCTCCGTCTCCGTCACCATGACAACGATGCCGAACATGCCGAAGATGAGAGCGTAGTCACTGAGACGCTTCCGCTTCTCAAAGAGCGCCCGCCGGTGGCCCAGACGGTGGCCCACGCTGGGGGGCTTTCCCGAGCCCCTCTGCCTACCCGCCTCATCCTCCTCCTCATCTTCCTCTTCTTCCTGGTCCTGGGGCTGCCCCCGGGGGCTGCCGGACGAGGGCTGGGCCGGCTCACTCTTGGCTACCACCACCTGGATGCCTGGGCCGTTTGGAGGCTGAGGCGGGTGGCCGGCCTCGGGGTCCGGAGGGTCTCGGCCCAGGGCACCCAGCCCGCCACCCAGTGGCCGTCCCCCGAAGCCATTGTGTCTGTGGCTGTTCATGACTATGTGGGTGCTGGGGTTGGGCTTGCTGCCGGCCGCCCGGGGCCCGGCATGGCTCAGCAACTGGGCTCCCGCGCTGACCTGCAGGGCATGGGGGACACGGTCGTGTCAGGGCCTCAGCAACGGACCAGAGGGCTACGGACCCCACCCCAGCACATTCTGAGGCTGGAGAGGCCAGGAACCGACTGCGGCTGACACGTGGATTGGCCACTCCAGAAACCTGCCTATGTCCCTCCTCTGCTCCAAGCCTCCCCATGGCTCTCCAGTGCCATTGTATAAAAACTCAACTTCTCACTGTGTCCAGGAGGCCTCTGTGGTCTGGCTCCCACCCACCTTATCCTTCTCACTTTCCCCAGAGTCACTCCCTTCCAGCCACGGTGGCCTACCCATTACCAGATCCCGGCAAGCCTGGTCCTGCCTCAGGGCCTTTGCACCTGCTGTGCCCTCTGCCTGGAACACCCTCCTACCAGACCTTTGCCCACTGACTTTTCTGTGTCTCCAGGTACCTAGAACAATGCCTAGCATTCAATAAACACTTCTGAATGCCTCAAGATGGAATCCGCTGGCTGGTTTGCCTGGGAGGACTAGAGGCCGGGTAAATGAGCAGCTGGGAGGTGGTTCCAATCCAGGCTTGTCTCCTTCTGACCTTCAGGCTCTTGGACAAGTTAATCTCGCTCTATTCCAGTTCCTCCCGTAGAGCCGTCCAAAGGCCTGAACACACTTACATAGTCACGGGATATGGCCAGGGGGAAACTGGGGACCACAGCCATGGCTATGAGACTCTCAGCTCCCTCCTGCTTAGATGGAGGGAGGTCTGTGATCTCCAAACACATTCCAGGACCAAAACAGCAATCCAGGATTTAACTCTAAGATCCCAGAATTGATGCTACAGGGTCTTGGGAGACGTGCTTGGCCCGGTCCTGTGACCTCGGGCCAGACTCAGTTTCCCCACCAAGGAAACTGGCTACCAAGGAGGAGACTGTCTGATCTGCCCCCTGCTCCTGCACAGGGCAGTGTCCCCTGGCGTCACATGAAAGGACAAGGACCTTGAAGACGATGACACGCACATGATGAGGCTGCCTGGAGTCCAATCTCCTGGGTCCCAACTTGCCAGATCCTCCTCTGCCACCCCCACCCCCAGCCCACTCTCTCACTCCCCACCCCTGCAGGCACCCCCTGCTGCCACCACAGCCTGTGTTTACTGAACACCTACTACACGCCAGGCTCTGTCCTTTGCACAGATTTTTCTCCTTAATCCTCACAACACCCCCAAGAAGAGGGTCCTGGGATTTGGCCAGTTGTATAGATGGGGAAACTGAGGTACTATGTGGTGAAGGGACCATCTCCTTACAAGGCAGATTCTGAACCAGGCTGCCTTGTGGGATTCTCCCAAGAAGCCACACAGTGGTGGGCTGTGGGCCAAGTGTTGTCCCCTTGGAAAAGGCCAAGCTGGCATGTGCTGGGGGCCCAGGAAAGGGGGCTGCGTGCACAGAGAGGACACCTCCCTGGCCCTGAAGCCATGTTCCCGGGGGTGACAGGCTCAGAAAGTGTCACATCAGGACCTGCCAAGGTGAGCCATGTTGCCAGGCGGGACAGGGGTGACCTTGGCCAGGGCACTACCGCATGCATTGCAGAACCACCTGTGCCTGTGTCCGTGCCCCGCCCCAGGCAGTATCTGTCCCACTCACTACACGTCTCCAGACGAGGGTGCCAGCACACAGTAGGAACACAAGAAACATGAGTCTTAGAATGTGTCCCACTTCCATCCATGTCACCTGTGACTTGACGCGTCACAGTTTATAAGAGCTGGCCCCATGTGGTCCCAGGACATCACAGATTATATGGGCTCATCTCCTGCAGGGCCAGCACTTCACAGTTTATAAGGCTGACCTTGGCCCTGATCTCTCTCTTCGTTCTCACAAGCACTCAGGTGCCACTCTCCTCTGGGCTAGAGCCCCTGCTTGCCACCTGAAGGGCTGTCAGCTGCTAGGCAGGGCTAAGAGCTTGCCACCAGGACACACACAGCGGCCCCAGACCCTGCCCTCGCCCAAGACACAAGGAAACCTCAGGCACCCCTCCCATCTTCCCTCCTGAAGGTGCAGAAGGCTCCTGCCCAGGGCTTGGGGAGCAAAGGCAGGAGAGGTGGTGGCCTGGCAGTCAGGACCGGAAGCGGGTGGGAGCGGTGCAAATGACCTTCCAAAATGCACCGATGAAGATGCAATTTGGGGATGTGACTCAGCCGCCCAACACACAGGCCAAATTCGGCCGTGTTTCCGCCATGCTCCTCCTTGCCTGGCAGCCGTGTCCTAACGTGTCCTGGGCAGGGAGGGGGTGGGGTAGGGCATGTGAACAGGCGGCAGGTGGCTTCTGGGAGGGCCTTCTTAGTGCCCATGTTGTTAATGCGGACCTATTGCTTATTGCGGGCCGAGACCTTGATGAGAATTACCACATTTAATCCCTATTGCCACTCAGCAAGGCAGGTGGCATTCTTACTCCCATTCTACAGAGGGGAGACAAGGCTCAGAGAGGTTCAGCACTTTGCCCAAGGTCACACAGCCAGGAAAGGCAGGGACTAAGTTAGTGCAGTCTGGGGGCAGTGGATGGCAGGATCTGCCTGGGTCCCTCTTGATGAGTGGCTGTTTGGAAAGGGAGCCAGCCTGGCCCTGTCCTTGAGGGGCCACAGAGCTCAGAACACAGGCATGGTGACTGTTCCACCCCTCCCACGACCTCTTAGGAAATGGAAGGACAGAGTGGCCTGCCTGCGATCCCACAGGAGAAGGGGGCAGCCCGTTTCTAAAGACTGGGTGGGACCCTAGGGCCCTGGGGACAAGAGACCCCACCCCTCCCCAGATTCACCTTCCCCTCCCTCAATGCAATCTGGGCCTAAAGCTGGGGTCCCCGGGACCCTCAGAGATTTCCCAAAGAACCAGAAGTCCCTGTGACACCCCAGCCAAGGTTTGGATGTCCATGAAAGGGTGTGTTTTTCTGGGTGAAGGCCCTGGGTTCTCCAAGGAGTTCCTCTAAAAAGCAACAAACATCCTATGGGCTGCATTTCGTTTTGAGGGTTCCTGGAATTCCCCAAATTGTCTGGGGCACAGGACCTCTGTTCCTTGAATGCTGGGGTGAGGGGATGAGCAAAACCCCGCCTTCGTGTCCCATCCCACGAGATGCTGTGGGAAACCTGTAGGCCAAGCAGGGCCGGGGGGACCCAGGAGGGCTCTTGAGGAGTGGGCGAAGGTGTGCAGAGAGCAGGGAGCAAGGAGGCCGACTCCTCTGAACTGTCCCACCCAACAGGAAGAGAAAGAAAATGGCCAGACCCGAAAGGCCCTCGAGTGAACTCTTTTACAAATGATGGGTTGATTGCAGAGGGACCTTTGGGTGTCCCAGCCAGGACGAAGTCACTGCCACTTCCTCATTTACCTCTTTAGTAAAGGGGCGTCTCGGTGCCATCCCAGCAGGGTCAGTGGCCACAATGGAGTGAGATGTCATGTGGAAAATGCTTAGCACTCAGCCATGGGTACGCCTGTTGTGGTGACACTACCGAACACTGTGATCTGTCCTTCAGAGCTGGACCAGGAGAACGCGACCCCTGCCCATCAGTCTCCAAGGCAGAGCCTCCTTGGGGCAAATGCCCACCCCATTGCTCCCAGGAATCATGGCCAGAGCAGCACATGGTAGAACCTTCCAGGATATGTGGGTGAATTGTGGGTTGAGTGTCCCTGCGGAGGGTGGGGTAGGACCCTCGGACACACCTCCACCAGCACTCTTGGGGCCACAGCTCTGCAGGGTGGACAGGATCTGTTCGTCCTTCCAACCCCATGGGCTGCCCGACAGTGGGTGCAGCAAGTCGTTGGCTGACTGCCCCATCCCTTAGGCATTCCCCCCATCACCACCCGTCAGGAACCTGCCAGCAGCCAACAGGGTGCAATTAGCCTGCCCTAGCCTGCTGTCCCCAGTGCCCTCCACTCTGATGCATCTCCGTTAGCATCTCTGGCTCACCCCCAGCCTTCAGCACTCACATTTGTGGCCCCACCCTCCAGGACAGCCCAAGCAGTGCACTGTGCTGGGTACCCAACCTCTGTCCAGGGAGAGCTGGGGGACCCGGCTTTCCGACCCCTGCCGTGCTGCCCCTAATGGCTGGATACAGGGGCCAGTGGTGAGGGTCTCCTTCCTCCCATTACCATGTCAGTCCTGGGTCACTGCCTCCACCCCGAGAGCTCCCCCACCGTATCTATGGAGTTTAGAGACTCACTGCTCTGCCCCCGCCGAAGTGAACCCAGTACCCTCCCCCTCCAGGATGGGGGTCCGTGAATCTTTACTCACTCGGGCAGTGCACATACACACATTCCCCCCGTCGCCGTATCCCCTGGGCTGCGGACCCCACGGAAACCCTCCTAGCCCCTGCCCCAAACCGCATCTCACTCCGGGACATGCCGCCCTGGGTGCCCCTGCCCATCCCACTCAGTACCTGCGGGACTCGTCTTGGGCAGGCGGACGAGGCTGGAGGGGAGAGGGTCCCGCGCGGCCGCAGACCCCCAGGCAGGGGCCGGGGACGGGGTCGCGGGCGGGGCGGGCAGCAGCGGGCGGGCGCGAGGCCCCGGGGCGGTGGGGCCGGGGGCGGTGGCAGCGTGCGCATCCCCCGCCGCCCTGCCCACGGGCCCGGCCGGGGGTCGAGCGCCCGCCCGGGCAGGGAGAGGAGGGGGCGGTGCGACGCCGGCGGCGCAGCCGATTGGCCGATCCCGGGTTGGCACCGCCCCCGGCGACCCCGCAAGCCCCGCCTCTATTTAAAGATCCCTCATTTCCCCGCTTCCCCCTTCGCTCCCCAGCGAGCTGCTGCTCCTCAAACTCACCCTTGCCCCGCGCCGTGGAGAGGACCTTAGCGAAGCGAAAACTCCCGACCTCGAAAGCCTTTGAGAACTAACCACTCCTTTATCAAAATCAGGTCCCCAAACTCCAGCCACCTCTCAACATTTGCGCGCCTGGGGGCTGATCACACCACGCACTTGCTGAGGGGACAACTTTGCAAAGTGACTGGACATCTCCCTCCTGAAATGACCTCATCAAAGTCCTCTCCGTGTGGG